ACTTGTATATTCAAGTTTTCATAAATTGGCTTCTGACTTTTGAGTATATTTATATTGAGCAACCAACTAGATTTTTCTGAGGCAATAAGTTTGCAAGATTTTTTAAGTAACTAACATTGAAAATTAGTGTTGCTGGCAACAGCCAATATCACAACAGTAACTGAGACACACTTTAATTTATTTAACAATTAATTCCTAACTTGAAAATAGAATAGAATGAAATAGAAAAAATATTTAAAAATTAAATAAAATTAAATTAAATAAAATAGAATACAATTAATTAATAAATAATAATAAAACTATTATTAGTAGTATTATTAAATAAATATTACCACCAACAGTAAACCTTTTTTTTAAATATTGGTATTACTATTTTACCAGTTACAATTCCATTTCCAGTGTTGGGCAGTAACGCATTACTTAGTAACGCGATACTGTAATTTGATTGCTTTTTTAGTAACGGAGTAATTTAACGCGTTTTGATTTTCAAAATAGTAATTAGAGTATAGTTGCAAGCCGATGTCTCTATACGTTACTGCCGCGTTACATTGCTGACAGAATGCATTTTTTTATAATCTAGATTGTAAAAAAGGATGTAGCACGCGCACTGTCGAGTCAAGTGCCAGTGGATTAGAGACCTGCACTCCCGCGAGACCCGACGCAACAGCAGCGCGGGACGAGATGGGCGAGTGCTGGTGCGAGCGGGTAGAGTCAAATTATTCACGGTACTCCCGCAAAATAAAAATGTCTAAACAAAATATCTAAAACAAATAAATTGTTACTCATCTATTGCACAAAAGCAACAAAAAACGATTAACAGGCGCAAGCAGAGTTTCTATTTAGGCTAGAACACGTGTTTGCTGCGTTAAGTAATGGTTATTTCTGGAACGCAATGGCCAGTCAGCAGTGCTGAAATGCGCGTGCTCACGAATCCTCTCGTTATAACACACGAATTGTAGACATTATGAAAGATTAATTATGCATATATTTATTGTGTTCTAACAGAGCTCTGTGAGATTGCGATGAACTGATGTCATCTTTTTAGAGATTATAAAAGCAGCGCTATTTGCTGGCATTCTGCCATGCCAAAACACAGCAGCCAGTGCTTGCTTTAGTTAAAAATAACAGCGTTTTGTGAAAGTTGATGCTTTAATAAATATTTATCGGGAACGTTTATGCTGGGATTTCATGTAAATTTCATGGATGTAGTCACAGAAAAAAGTAACATGTAACGAATTACTTTCGAAATAAAGTAATCAGAACTGTCAAGTAGGCCTAATCAGTAATTTGTAATTTAATTACATTTTCAGAGTAACTTGCCCAACACTGTCCATTTCACAGATTTTCTCCTTAAATATTACAAAAATAAATGTAAAAAGTCACAGACTCCGTCTGGCCTGTCTGTAACAACTGGTTCAAAGAGTCACATGTTGACAGACACAAAAAGCGGATAAGCATCATGTACTATACTAGTACATGGTGTAGAAACAAACACAGAATTGCAAGTTCCTTGAAACATGACTTCAATTCATCACACTAAAGTCCATTGAACCTCCTGAACCCGCAACAGCTCCTCAACAGATAACACATTTCTTCAGATGGAAGCCAACTTGGACTCATTTCTCTCATAAAAAGTATACACAGAAACTCCCAGCCTTCAGTTTGAAAATATTACAGGGAGGAATGTGCCGTTCCAGACACCCAAACAGCACACTGTTCCAGCCAAGCTGCATACTTGAGATGAGTGACCTCACGCTGAAGCTCAAGTGCTCTGTGTATGTAAACACATTGCCATGACAACCGCCAAGTCAGGATGACAGTGGGAACATTGATATCAAAATCCACTCCATTACACACAGCAACTCATTTACCTTGGGCTTGACGCTAGCCGAAGATTGCTAACCGAAAACAACTGTCAGAGGAGATGCTGTTTGCTTGTAACAGATTTTCCTTGTTCTCGTCTCGCTACAGAGTTATGTCTACAGATAAGTTTCCAGTGTTTATGTTGGATAAATGAATAGAACGCTTACTGAAATCAACTAAATGAGTTACTGAAGAGAAGCTCTTTCAAGCAGAGGAACAAAGATGTAGCATGTTGGTAGGGTCACTGTGTATAATCAAATTTTATTTTTTTAATTTATATTTTTATTTATTTTATTTTCTCTGGTGTTTTTGTAAATAGCACAATCATTCTGCAATAAGACAAAACCTGATTTTTGCTTGACATTTTGTCCATCTGAACATTTTATGCGGTGTTGAAGTGCAAGTAATTTTTTACCTGCTTTGGATCGTTACATTGTTTATAGTACAAGTAATTGATCAATGGGTATTCTTTTGTTACCTGTACCAGAAAATCCCGTTTACTTGTCAGTTTATTTAAATTTTTTTAAAAGACTTATTTTTGGCATTTGCACCGTTATTATGAACAGACAGGAAGCAAAGTGGAAGAGAGATGGGGTGGGATCGGGAAAGGTCCTTGAGTTGGGATTCGAACTCGAGACGCCCGTAGCCCAACTGTGCTGTATGTCGGTGCACTGTCCACAAGGCTATCTGTGCTAACTGTCAGTATATTTTTTACCTTTCTGAAAACTACAGATCATGTTTCCGCATTGTATACCCCCATTCAAGTCTGAATTGGCCCCAGTGCATTATGGGTATTGACGTTTCCTACCTTTTTCCTGTTTTCTCTAGTCAAATAGCACTATATATTTAACGCAATGGCCAGTCAGCAGTGCTGAAATGCGCGTGCTCACGAATCCTCTCGTTATAACACACGAATTGTAGACATTATGAAAGATTAATTATGCATATATTTATTGTGTTCTAACAGAGCTTTGTGAGATTGCGATGAACTGATGTCATCTTTTTAGAGATTATAAAAGCAGCGCTATTTGCTGGCATTCTGCCATGCCAAAACACAGCAGCCAGTGCTTGCTTTAGTTAAAAATAACAGCGTTTTGTGAAAGTTGATGCTTTAATAAATATTTATCGGGAACGTTTATGCTGGGATTTCATGTAAATTTCATGGATGTAGTCACAGAAAAAAGTAACATGTAACGAATTACTTTCGAAATAAAGTAATCAGAACTGTCAAGTAGGCCTAATCAGTAATTTGTAATTTAATTACATTTTCAGAGTAACTTGCCCAACACTGTCCATTTCACAGATTTTCTCCTTAAATATTACAAAAATAAATGTAAAAAGTCACAGACTCCGTCTGGCCTGTCTGTAACAACTGGTTCAAAGAGTCACATGTTGACAGACACAAAAAGCGGATAAGCATCATGTACTATACTAGTACATGGTGTAGAAACAAACACAGAATTGCAAGTTCCTTGAAACATGACTTCAATTCATCACACTAAAGTCCATTGAACCTCCTGAACCCGCAACAGCTCCTCAACAGATAACACATTTCTTCAGATGGAAGCCAACTTGGACTCATTTCTCTCATAAAAAGTATACACAGAAACTCCCAGCCTTCAGTTTGAAAATATTACAGGGAGGAATGTGCCGTTCCAGACACCCAAACAGCACACTGTTCCAGCCAAGCTGCATACTTGAGATGAGTGACCTCACGCTGAAGCTCAAGTGCTCTGTGTATGTAAACACATTGCCATGACAACCGCCAAGTCAGGATGACAGTGGGAACATTGATATCAAAATCCACTCCATTACACACAGCAACTCATTTACCTTGGGCTTGACGCTAGCCGAAGATTGCTAACCGAAAACAACTGTCAGAGGAGATGCTGTTTGCTTGTAACAGATTTTCCTTGTTCTCGTCTCGCTACAGAGTTATGTCTACAGATAAGTTTCCAGTGTTTATGTTGGATAAATGAATAGAACGCTTACTGAAATCAACTAAATGAGTTACTGAAGAGAAGCTCTTTCAAGCAGAGGAACAAAGATGTAGCATGTTGGTAGGGTCACTGTGTATAATCAAATTTTATTTTTTTAATTTATATTTTTATTTATTTTATTTTCTCTGGTGTTTTTGTAAATAGCACAATCATTCTGCAATAAGACAAAACCTGATTTTTGCTTGACATTTTGTCCATCTGAACATTTTATGCGGTGTTGAAGTGCAAGTAATTTTTTACCTGCTTTGGATCGTTACATTGTTTATAGTACAAGTAATTGATCAATGGGTATTCTTTTGTTACCTGTACCAGAAAATCCCGTTTACTTGTCAGTTTATTTAAATTTTTTTAAAAGACTTATTTTTGGCATTTGCACCGTTATTATGAACAGACAGGAAGCAAAGTGGAAGAGAGATGGGGTGGGATCGGGAAAGGTCCTTGAGTTGGGATTCGAACTCGAGACGCCCGTAGCCCAACTGTGCTGTATGTCGGTGCACTGTCCACAAGGCTATCTGTGCTAACTGTCAGTATATTTTTTACCTTTCTGAAAACTACAGATCATGTTTCCGCATTGTATACCCCCATTCAAGTCTGAATTGGCCCCAGTGCATTATGGGTATTGACGTTTCCTACCTTTTTCCTGTTTTCTCTAGTCAAATAGCACTATATATTTTTTGCGTTTCTACTGCATACACAGCCAAGTTTTGTTAAAAACCATTGACAACGGTGTACTACCCCTTTATTGGCAAGACAGACGAGTCAAGTTGTCAAATCAAGGCTTTCCGTTCATGTCTGTTAGCTTTGACCCAAAAAAAAACAAAAAAAACATTTAAACGTACTTCGGAAAATAGTGCTGACTTGACTCATCCTGCACTGCACAGACTGCGGTCCAATCAAATGCTCTCTAGAATGTCCCGCCCCCAATACCATTTGCAACTGCAAATCATGATTCAAGTCTGTAATAATTAAATGATTTAAAACATTTAAAAAAAACATCCAATATAAACCTCCTGTATCAATAGGAAAAAGTTATAGAAGGAAAACGTAAACAGCAAATAAGAAGCGATTTCATGGGGTTTTTATGAGCACAAAAACCACAAAAGACGTCAATTATAATAAACTTTATTAGATTACCAATATTATCTACATCACTGAATACAAAGAGAATGGTGGTCTGCAGGCAGAAAGGGTTTAAAAACAGGGAACCAAACTATCCCCCTCATGCTTAGCAAAATGGCTGCCAAACATGAACTACGTTTACACATCTAAAAGTCTAGAATGGGGGGGGAAAAAAGGAAAAAAAACTCAACAATAATCGGCAATGTTCTCTGCATCAAGACTTTAAAAGAACAGAGCAGAGAAACATCAACATTTGCCTGTGTGTCACTTTTGACATGGTTATCTCATAGACAAGGCACCACACAGCAGTGTCACTATTCCATCCCTGCTTTTCTCGACAAATCGTCAACAGGTTAAAAACAGTCCTCAAGAATAAAACCGGCAAAAATTATTTGTAAGATATGGGTGTTCACAGGATTTTAGGGGCCATTACAGAAAGCACACTATGCAACCTCTTATTGATTAATGTATGCTACATAGTTTCACAGTGATGCAATATTTAATTTAATATAAAAAGGACAAAACATGGCTTTCTCTTAATATACCAATATCATGAGCCAGGCACTTCAGATATTGCAGTGTGAAGAGAGGCGAGGGACTCGTTGTGTGATTAAAAAAAGCTAGCATAGCACACTAGCTGTTGTTGTTTCCATGAATGCTAGCCTCTCAACTCCCCCCCTCACAGACGTCAAAGACTGTTTTTCCAGGCCAGACGGTCAGATTTACAGCTAAAACCAGGCTATTTTTAACCTGCCAAGAGCAAGCAAGGGAAGACATCGCCTTCCCTTAGGTGTCGTCAACTTGCTAACCTGCTAACCGCGGCCATGGATCCGAAGCGGACTCAGCTACTTTATTATACTGACTGCAATGGGAAGGACATTTGAAAAACGTATATATAAAAATTTAAAAAAAAAAAAGTCTATCAACATAAAACCTTGCTGGTTGTTAAGCCTAAAGGTCTTGAAAAGGTAATGTATTTTGCATTGCCCGCAAAGAGTCGCTATATGGACCCTCAAGTTAATGTCATGATACAAGAAAGCTTAATGTATGCCAACACCTCATTTAAAAAAAAACATTTTTTTAAAAAAAGAGGACGGAGTTAAAAAATAAATAAATTTAAAAAAATAAAAGGAAAAGGCCTTGACAAATAGCTGAAGTTTCACTAAGCCGTGATTAGAGAGAAGGAGGGTTCTTGTTTTCGTATCTGCCATTAGATTCTGGCGAAAACCTTCAGATGGATTTCCAGTATACGAACGAAGCAACAAGAAAACAACAACACACTTGATCCTGAAAGTATCAAGCATGATACATCCTCAGTGAGATTTGTAAAAAATATTGTTGGTACCATACCCAGTGACCGAGAATGGCACCGAAAACAAAACGAAGATGTAATGAAACAGGCTTGCCAGAAAGCTGATCAATCCCAGAGAGTAACAGAGGCGGACACTATGCCTTGAATGGTTGTAAAGGCACTACTATCATCATTGGTAGAGCAAGTAGTTCTTAAGGGAAGCAGGTAAGGGCAGTCCACTGATTTCACGCAGTCGCTCTCTTCCCAAAGCGACTCGCACCGAGCGCCTACAGAGGTCCATTAATGGCAGAGGTTCAGTGACTGACAAAGTGACTGGGTTAATCTTTTTCATGTTTCCTTGGTTGGTAGATGCACCGGGGACCTGCTTATAGCACTTAAAACCTGGAAAAGTCAGATTTTCATGATATGTCACCTTTAAAGGGGTTATGAAATGGAGAATCAAAATGTTCTTGATATTTACACATGACAGGTTAACAAAAAAAAACAAAACAACATACAGCAAGTTTCAACACTCAAAACTAACCCTCAGTTTAAAATATGAATGATCCTTTTCTATCCTTATGAAACACCAGGATTTGAAAACTGGAGAAACGTGACGTTACAATTTTTTTATCATGCGTCATCATTGTATGTAATAAAGGACATGTGTTCTGAACAATGGATTTGTCTGTCCATCAAACACAAGAATGATAGCTACTACTGTTAGGTATTGCACTTTTTCGGTGCAAATTTTACAAACTAACCTCTATAAAAATCTGAAACTGCATTTCAACTCATCAACTCATCAACTCATCAAGCCAGTGAATGAACTATCAACTACACACTGTTCCTGTTAGCAGCGTGAAACCATCTGTTATCTATGTTGTGATTATTTTATATACATACAGCGATCAAAGATCTTTCTCTTTATAGTCACTGGAGTAGTCAATTCAAGATCAGCATGAGTCTAACGCAGTAAAAGTTTAAGAAAGTTCCACATGCAATGCTCTTTTAATGTTAGCCAATCATAGCAGAAATAGAAAGGGGTGTGTCTGTTGGGAGACTTCAATGAGTTCAAATCAGAGCTAAATTCAGGCTCGAAAATAACTAAATTATGATTGTTTTAAAACATTTTAACCATACCAAGATCACAAGCGCACCTCAGGAAGCATTATAAAATAACTAAAAAACATTTCATGACCCCTTTAAGAGCAGGCATGTGGTACTATAACTATATTATAATGATATTTGCTGTGGATCTTTTAAAGATCGTTTTATAAAAGTCCACAGGGTCAAAATCTCTTCAAATTTGAAGAAATATTCATTCATGTATGATATGCATGACCCTTAGGTCACAAAACTGACAAATGCAATTCATCAGCTGATGCGGAGCGAATAAATACTGCCGATTTTGGTTTTACAATTACCAAGAGAAGAAACTGTGTCCAAAAAAATCATAGTGTGCACCTGGCTTAAAGTATTACATGTTTCCCCACAGGTCCCCTTTAGTCCAGCCATATAACAACCCCAAGTACTTCGGACTTCAGAATGGATTCCACACAGCACCACCTGCTCGGATGTTGAGATTACTTCATAAAACGCACACTTTAGCAAACGAGACACAGGGGAAACCAAAGAGAGTGATGTAAGGGATAAATAACAGTACAATTATACCTCTGTTGACCGCGAGCATGACGAGGAATGCATTAAAGGCACTGACACAATACAGATACAAAAGGAAGCCAAGGCCTTGGAGTCAGAGGCTGAGTAATACTCTCTCTCACACATAGAAGGGATGAGAATTCTCCAAAAATGGGAACACCCATGTCCTGAACTGATGCATTAATACTTCCCAAAGTCAGACCTTCGTTAAATGTTACTAAACATGGCACACTCAGGAAAGACATTTAAGAGTCATTCCATCACCTGACGGCATGCAAAACATTAAGGTGATAAAACACGTATTCCATTGGACAGGACATCATTAGTGGCCCAGAGACTGTTTCCACAGAGAGTAAGGTGGGTTACAGCTGTCCAGACAGGAGTACGTCTGGCCCTCACCTGCATCCTTTCATTATATGACCACAGAATGATAACATCACAAGAATGTCCTCCAAAACGGACTCATTACAGCAAGCTGGGTTGAGGAAATGAGTCAGATTCGAAGGAACTACATGCAAAAAAACAGCAGAAATTTTTATGTAACCTTGAGAATGCGCAATTAAACTAATATGACTGATTAATATTGAAAACCCTTAGCTTTTTCTACTCTCAAGTAATCTACTGTAGGGGGGAGTTTTTTTTTGTTTTTTTTACATTTTAGCAGTGTCAGCCATATCAGCTATCTATAGCAAGGGATATATCAAACTTTATTCAAAGGACCTACTAATTATGATGACTGCCATTGCATGGGACCCCATTCCTAAAATAAACGTTGCTGTGTGTAAAAACTTTCACTGTGAAAGTAAAAACAAAATTGGGTGTGATAAAGTCACGTTCCCAAAACTTAAATAATTAGCAATACACCGTCAACGAGAATTAATATTTTCTAGAACAATTTAATTTGCATCAAAAATACACATTTTAAATATGGTCTCTAAAGCAAATTCAAAGATTCCAAAATAAAATAAAAAAAACACCATAAAATCCATAGAATGGTCTTAATGCAGTTTTGTCATTAAAAAAAGTGTAGTTGTCACTAGAATAAAATTAAGAATGATTAACCTAACAATGTCAGATTATGAAAATGTGTTAGCAAGTCAGAAAATGAATTTAAATGAACACTTTTCTTACATTTATTCACATCATTGAATCCTAAAACAGAAAATGTTTTAGTCATTGAGAAGACAGAAAAGAGATTTGAAATTGGCTCGGCAGAATAACCACTTCTGTTAATCAGGCATAGTTTTCTCACCATCTCAAATAACCGGCCTGGCCTATCACTACTTTCCTGTTAAACAAAAGCTCAATTTTGCTTCCCTATAGGCTAATAATGGATGCAACGACATTTAAAATATTAATGTCAGCAAGAAACGGCAATCAAGAAGTAATAAGGAAAAAGCAGAGCAAAGCATCCAGTTTAAAGATTAGATTCCAGGACACGTTGATAAATAAGAAATAAAATATTTATTATTAATATTATTAGTAATAATATATATATACATACACACACACACACAGTGGGTACGGAAAGTATTTTCAGACCCCTAAATTTCACTCTTTGTTATATTGCAGCCATTTGCTAAAATCATTTAAGTT